AAGTTTATTACACTTTATATGTGATCCTTTGTGCTAACTCTTTTATCAAGATTAATAACCAGTTTCAAATTCTCTGTGTTGAGTAGCAACAATAAATTATCCATTAAAGCTTATTACAATAATAATTATGACAGAATAAAAACAAGTATTTTTTAATATATTTAAATAAGTTTATTAAAATCATTATGATATTGACTTTTTGCCTGATAATTTTAAGTTAGTTTTGATGAAACGTATGTTCTGAATGGTTTTATTATGAAACTTGTTCATGCATATAACTTGGGTAAAAATGTTGCTGATCAATAAACACTCAATTATTTGCTGGGAATTTTCAGAAGAAAAGGTGCAAGTCTTTTAGAGTCAGAGCCTTTTCTCCAGGTCAAGATGCCATAATTTTTTTTTTTTTTTTACTATACTTTATGAAGGCTATATCCCTACATGACCTGGAACCATTCTTATATTCATTTCTGTGCATATGAGGAAAAATATTACTGAGTAATATTCAAATTTTAATTAAACCACTTTACTATCAATGTATTTTAATGACATTACATACATACAGTTAAAGTATCTTATCTTTGGTTTCTTCTGTTTCTTTTCAGTTTAGTCTCAGTACCTCTATATCAGTGGTGCCCAACCAATTCACGACAAAAGACCCCCTTTTATTATTATTTTTTCCCCACAGACCCCATGATTTGAAAGATTGTCTATTTAACAAACAGTTTTTATTATCTAATATATAATTCATTTTCCCATTTTTTACTATCAAATAAAAGACATATATAACTGACTGTGCAATTAAGAAAACAGCAGTATTAAAAAACTAACTTGTTTAATGAGATGGTATTACCTTCACGCATCCAAAGTTGGGAACCACTGCTCTATACAGTCTAGACTTCTACACATACACGAGTTTCACATTACAACTACAAGAAAAAGCTTATATAACTCTTCCCCTCCAATAGTAGCCACACCCAATTTCCAAGTTATTCTGTTGCTAAGCAACAGCCTTTTCTAGACTTAAATGTCATGTTTATAACCAATAGAAAGAGCAGATTTCCAAATATATTTCCCATGCATTATCTATAATCTCACAGGATTATACATTGACATACTAAAAATAACCAGTATTATTGTTAATGGTATGTTATAAGATTCAACTTAATACTAACCAGAACTTGTTAGCAACTAATGCTTCACCTCCAGGTATATTGGGACATATCACACGAACAAAAGACCATTCTTCTTCCAAGTAGTTCTTTTGTCTAAGGCTTACTTGACGCCCCATTTGCATCAACTGAGTTCGTTGTCCAAGATACTGCAGATAAATCTTGAGAGAAAAACAGTAGTTAATCTGTGGTATCTATTTGTAATCCAATGCGAACAAATATGTTCCATAATGATTGTAATATCTTAAAAAAACTGAATTAAAAGGTGTCATCTGTGAGCAACATTACTAAAATGTTATCTACTGGTTATGAGGTCATGAAGAAAGCAGTATTTAATTTAATGTATATAAAAGTTAATGGCATGCTTTATTGAAGATGCACTCACCACCTCATCCAGCAGGGGCAAAAGTAAAGCTTACCATATTAAAAAATGTTTATCATATCTGTTATTCCTGGATTTACGTTTTCCTAACAGTCCACAAGCCAATTTTCATGTAGGTCATACTTTAGGAGTTTGTTGCACTCTTGGCCATACAAAATTTATTGGGTATCAACTAAAAGCTTAAGATATGCATATTATGAATCAACTTGTTTCCATTTGAGAAATCGAGTGAAATGTTGGAAACACATAAGTTCTTGAATTCACTCACAACAATAATTTTGTATTTTGTATTTTTTCAACATTATTGGTGACATAACATAGGCTTTTTATACTTTGCAAAATTAAGAAAATGCAAAGATTAATTTTTTTGTGGGTATAAAATGTTTCATTCTTCAAAGTTACAAGAAAATGTATAATTTCTAAAATTGTCTATAAACAATAAACTTTGATCAAATTTAGCATTTAAACATCTTCTTAACCTGAAGCAGAATAAAATCATCATACTAAACAAGACATGCTTATGCCAACAAAACAGGATTATGTTTGAAATACACAGGTTTGACACCTCTTACCATGTGCAATTAAATCATTTTTATGGCAATTAGAGAGAGAGAGAAAAAAACACAAAATAAGACATTTTATCTAATCACAGTCTTACTTACGCTATCAGCAAAATGACTAATAATTTGATCCTTCTTTGGTTACAGTTTCATCATTTTCTGACACTTCCTCAAGAACTGAAGACCTGCTTTTACAATCACTATTTCAGAAGCAACTTTCTGTACATGGAAGCTGGTTAGTTACATATGAACAAAGGCAACTTGTGTAGGTACAACCATAGGAAACAAAATGCAGCACAGCTACAGGAATGATAGGCTTGTCTGTTTAGTATAAGCACAAATAATTCTGTTTTGTGTACCACACATTTCCAACTATAAAAAACAGACAATGATCTGCATTCCTCTACACCACAGCTTGAAAGTTAGCACACAGGGCATGCTTTTTCATAAAATCTTCAAAAGGTAACAATTGATAGGTCTGTGTGTTAATAGATATACAGAAGATTTTACACTTTGTTTTTTACATTTACACAAAATTCTTCCAAGATGGCCTTTATTTGTGTAGCTCATGTAACATTCATGGTGATAACAACTGTAATGAATTTCTGCTGCACTTCTGAAAGTTTTCTAATTGGTCACTGAGATCTGGGTCAGATTACAAATAGCATCAGTGCATACATGACAGAGACATTTTGAAAATTCAAATCTTTTTGGTTATTGTGTTTTGCTTGGTTCAGAATCTGTCACACTTACTTGTCGGTGTCTTAAACTACACTATAACTAGATTTTACAGACATCTACAAGCAAGAAAACCTCTAACAGAAAGAACACTATTGGAAGCTCATTGACACCACCAGGATATAGACAAGGTTATACAGTACCCTACAAGCAAGTGCATAAAACACATATATTAGTGTTTTTATTACAATGGTATATAACCAAGTGTTGTTGACAATAATCTGATGATCATGAAGTTGAAGGAAGGAAGGAAAGCAAGAGCCATGCCCTTGAATTTGTCAACTGATGTGTTAACTTGTACATTCTATAACTGGCAATTAGAGCAAAATATAAATGATAATCAATTTGGGGCATGATGGTGGGTAAAACAAAATATGCGGCCTTGCTAACTAATGAATGAATATTTGCTGTAAAATTCTTATCAATGCTATAAGTGTAGCTACCAGTTTAGTTGCCAATTTTGATTTCATTCCTTTAAGTCACACACTCAATCCTTTTTTGGCCACACCTTTTTTTCACACCTAAGGTGTTTCTGATTAGGTATCATGACTTTCTGTCTATACACACCAATAAACCACACCACATAAGAAAGTGATGCTCGGAAGTAACACATTAGCTTTAGGATTGCAACCTTATTATTTGGAACAGATCTTTACTTTACAGAACCAACTAGATAGTAACACCATGAAATTTACATTAACAGTTTCTTCTCATCAACCACATGCAATCAGTACATCTGTATGAAGCATCATTGTTTATGTTAATTTCTTAAGCTAGTATCACATGACGCTGTTTAATTATCATAATTTCATAATATTTAGTAAATTTCTACTGGAACATTGGCAACGAATAATCAATAATAACCATCAACATGTATGACTTTTTTGATAACTTGAGCTAGAAACTGCTAATCTAGTTTGCTTGGCCTAACCAATACTCATGTATCTGCACGTACTTTCACCTTATAGTTTTGCTGCTCTAAATCAGCAGTCTTTAACATGAATGACTAAAAACAGTCCACTTTTACTCTTAGACAAAGCTGTAATAAAAATGTTTGACTGACAGCTCACATGATTTTTTGTGTAGGTGCGTGCAAAATTTTTTGTGGAATAACTTTGCACATGTGGCTTATACTTACATCAAATGAGACTCCTAATTATAGGTTGAAAAGATCTATCAGTGTACCAAATTTGAAAAAAAATCCATAAAAGTTAAGTACATTTTCCTGTCAAATAAAGTTTCTGTACTTTTGATGCAAAGAAAAAAAAGGAAGAAACTGTCAAAATTGGAGATATCTCAAGTGTTTCTTGATGGATTGCCTTGAAATTTGGTTTGTGAAGTAAGAGTAAAGTAGAGGACATTCACAGAAAATATATGATAGTTTGGATTACCACAGACCGAGATACACAAGGTGGAAATTCACTAAACTATCATTCCTATTAATAACACATGGTGGAAATTCACTAAACTATCATTCCTGTTAATAACACATGGTGGAAATTCACTAAACTATCATTCCTGTTAATAACACATGGTGTGTCCTGCAGCAGATTGTTTTGGCCACATGACACACTACTTTGTGTCCTGATACGATACAAATTGTATACACTTGCTTATCCTTTATCAATATAATATGTTAACAATGTAAAATTCACTTATGTAGATGTCCTATATTATCATTACATCTTCCAAGAAATTTGCTCTGCTGTAAATCTCACAATCTATAAAAAATAGTGTTGTTATTAATGGAAACACGATTGACAAAATAAATTAAAATAAACAAGAGTGACGATAAAACTCATCAGTATAGTATATCTGAATATTTTTAAAAGCATTCATTTCTCATGTCTGTTCTTGATTTTTTGATGATGTGCATGGGACCTTTCATTGTGCATCTTTTTTGAGGTTATAATTTCCATTGAATAGATAATATTCCAATAATTTAAGAAACCAGTGAAGTAATGGCACACTTTATATAGTATACTTTATACATATATATAATTTAATTCAACAAATAATATTCCAGTATTAAAAAAATTATAAATCAGTGAAATATTCGCAAACTGAATGTGTTACACTGTTTCTATATATATATTTTATGGAACAAATTTAAAGTATTATTAATTATATTAGTATATGTGATTGCCAAATTTAGTAATTATATTATATATGCAGTTTGTGTTTCTTTAATGAAACCAGAAAAAACATCCAGATTACTGATACTTTTGATTGTTAATATTCAATTTTGTAAATGTTTACAATATCCATTAGTTTACTTCCATGCCATCAAAACATAATCTTAAAAATTAATGTGTTTTGCTACAGTTAACCGTGTTATACATTACTCTCAAAAACTCTATAGGACTGGTGTTAGTTTCACTGTAAAATTATATGGGTGAAATCAGTTACACAGCAACTAGCACAATGATAAATCAAAATAAGTGCTATTCATAGTATGTAATATCTTGCTGTGTTTTATTAGAATGACAATAACTCTTGTTTAATGGATATTATTCTGATCAATATTGTAATGTATCATATGCTAACAGTATATAACATTATACAATGTGGTGGTGCACATATTTTTTCCTTCTTGGAACCATTCAATTATATGCAAACAAGTCAAATGTCTACAAAGTTAATATTCTCCTTACCTCAAAATACATTTCAGATAAATACTTAACTCTCTGCACCACTAAGAACTATTACCTCACAAGAAAATGCAACAGAATTGCTTGTATATGACACGACATCCATACACTGGATTCCCCATTCACATGAAATACACCAGAAGTGGAGAAGAAGGTTGGGAGGTGGTGCAGAGAGGTGTCTGTATGAAATACATTTTAATGTAAGTAAAATGTTAGTTACCTTTCTCCAACACTAAGAACTAGAACTCCACATTGAAAATGATGGAGGAGCCAGCATTCATCAGTTATAAAGATGAGTTCCTTTCTGAAATAGCAACAAAAACAACTGCCCATTGGGTGTGACTTCCACAAGACCAGATGTCTCCTAGTGGAGCAGCATACAGTGAAAGACTACATCCTTCTCAAACAAGGGATACTCTTTGCCGAATTTGTTGTTATATATTCATTCATATAATACAATTATATTACACAGAGATTTACAATAAAGGATACTGGGCAAAACCAATGACAGTGGTAACATGTTGCAAAAGTGGGCAGCACTTGAGAATGTGTAGTGTAGCTGGGGCATTAGATAGATATTGTAATGACAAGTGTAGAGAAGAAGAGCTCTCACCTGCTTCTTGAGGAAAATCCAAGTCCCATCCAGCTAGACATATCCACTAACAACTGCTTAAGAGATATTGTAGTGGGGTGTCCTGTACTACACTTCCAGGAAACACCATAGCCCTATATTTCAACAGTCACACTACATAACTATACCTGGTTCTCTCTTTTTTTTTTGTTAGTGGTGCAGAAACAGCCATGTCAATTACAGATATATACTGTCAAAGCATTTTTGCACAAAATCCCATCTTGATGGTGGGCAGTGAGAAGAAATTGATGGGTTTAATGAATTCTGTTCTCCCACACATGAAGCAGATTTTGGTTAAGTATTCCCTGTGAGGCCACACTGGTTACTTGGCAAGTTTCAATGGCACTTAGCATAAGGAACGTAAGATGTAGTTCTTCATGTAACATTTGGTCTCGTGAGTCTTGCCTCCTTTTGTTCAGTTTTTGTTACTTTATTATTCCTAAAGAACTTGCACTACAGTGTTGGAAGGTACACAAATATCTTGGTAAACACCTGGAGGTGCCATAAAATGTATGAATGGCATAGCAATGATTGAAAAACACAACAGTTGAAACTCAGTACACTAAAGCCTATGGGTAGATTGGAGAATGGTAATTGCAGGAAACTGAAAACCAGAGACCCGGGATCTACCCTATGATGCAAACAAAGGAAGATGAATGTGTCAGGTGTAGTACATATACCAGCCTGGAACATCTCTTCTAAAGGCCAGTGATGAAAAGAAGCAAGAACAACATGCTAAAACTCATGGAGATACAAAGCATATAAGCAAATCCACACAAAGAACATGTGAGATAGATGAGTTGGTGAACCTAACTAACTAATCCATTGACAATAAACACATAGAGAACTTTTGTAAGTAATACATCGTATACAGCACACTCACATTAAATTGCCGGAGGTGGACCATACTCTAGACAGTGAATCAGCAATCAATGGGTTAAAGTGGAAGCTTAGAAAATTTTTAAAAACTCTTACCACCAAAATAAAGTATCATAGTTATAGGACATTGTTTGCTTCATGCATGTTACTATTTTGTGTTCTTAGGTGCATTATTTAATTTAAACAAAAACTATTTAGTGTATTAGTACCATTAGTATAAAAAATGTAGGCTTAACTTTCATCGACAATCGACAGCATAAAAAAAAAGAGGACACAGGTGAGAACCATATTTCTTGTTTTTTCATGAATATTCTTTGTTTATTATCATAAGGGTAACTAAAATGTAAAAATTAGAAACTTATTAAATTAAGTAAGGTTATATAAGGTAAGATAATAAAAAATAATAATAATTGTTCATGAGGTATACTGGTGAGCAGCTTGTGTATTTTGTAACTTAATACAATAATTTGAGTTGTATGGTGGGATTATTAATTAGACAGTTGAAAGAGCAATACAACAATAAAATTTAAGTATAAGCAGATGTATACTGTTTAGAGTTTTAAACTATTTAGGATAAACAATGGTAGTTTCCTATTACAATTTATGGTCATTATAGAAAGAAAAATGAGTAATTTAGATTTAATGGATATTTTTCTTATGGTGGTCACAAGTTTTGTCAATTTGACCGACCTCGTATAGAATTAGGGTAGAGAAAATCAGTGGTGAAATAAAAGTTTTACTTAAAAAAAAAACCTTCGAAGTTTATTTAGGATGTTTTAAAGATTACAGAAATGAAATTTCACAATTTTCAGATGAAACAAAGTATTTTTTACTCTTAACTTGAAAATCACTTTGCAGTCGAAGCAGTCAAGACTCTGACACCATATAATTACATACACAGTTTTAGTAAAAAATACTTAATTAAAAATTCTGCTTTTTGTCTACAAAAGACTTTTAATATTTACTAAAATCTTGCCAAATTTATGATGGTTACAAATATTATAAAATACACAAGCCTGTTGTGATAGGGATAGTACACTACTACTTTAGAAATTACCATGACCCACTTTAAAACCAAATCTCTACCATAAATATGTACCTGTTTTGTGAAAGTGAAAAAAAAATTACATAAAAGCAGATTTGCTACTTTAACTTACCTCAAGCATTTTCTTCAAGTCATCATCAAATGCATCTAACTGAGCTTCAATCACATCAGTACAGCCTTCACCTAGCACTGTCTGTGCTAGTGTAGTGTATCTCTGTCTCATGTGAACTCCAGCACGAAGCACTTCCTTGCATTCTTTTATAAGCTGGTTTATATGAAAAAGGAACATAAATATTCATTCAAATATTTAGTCAAACAGTCAATTTTAAAAATACAACAATTCTAATTTTTTAGATGTAGAAACCATTTCTAGCTTCCCACAAGGAATGACAATAATAAAATCATAAATATTTTGTTTAAGTGTAAGTAAAAAATATACAATAAAAATATCTTTCATAACAATAGCTTCACCTGGAAGCAGAAGGATCAACACTTGTAGTATCAGTGGTACCAGGAAGACTTCTCATCATCTTCGAACAACTTTTAAACCCTTGAATACACAAATGTATAATAGTATAAATTTCACATTAGATTCAATGACGAGGAACCCACTTTGAGACTAATAATGGTTGGAGACGGCTTGAATGGGTAATGAAGAAAAACTTTAATATAAGTTTAACATAACAGCAAATGTACAACGTTTCGACAAGT